AAAAGGGATGTGACGTTTTATTCGCATTGACAATGTTAAAACTAGAAATAATGGATGATATTGCATCCAGCTCTGGGCTCCAAAGCACAAGGACTTGGAGTGAGTCCAGAGGAGGCCACAGAGATGCTCCCAGGGCTGGAGCCCCTCTGCTCTGGAGCCAGGCTGGGACAGCTGGGGGGGTTCACCTGAGGCCTAAAGGGGCTCCAGGAGAGCTGGAGAGGGACAAGGGATGGAGGGACAGGACACAGGGAATGGCTTCCCACTGCCAGAGGGCAGGGTTAGATGGGATTTTGGAAGAAATTCTTGGCTGTGAGGGTGGGCAGGCCCTGGCACAGGTTGCCCAGAGAAGCTGTGGCTGCCCCAGCCCTGGAGGTGTTCAAAGCCAGGCTGGCCCAGGGCTTGGAGCAACCTGGGCTGGTGGAAGGTGTCCCTGCCCCTGCCCTACCAGGGGGGGTGGAATGAGATGAGCTTTAAGGTCCCTTCCAACCCAAACCTATCTGGGATTCTGTGCTAAATCAGTTTATTGTCTAAGTTACAAAAGCAAATCATCAGCTACACGTGGATTTATTATAACAAGCCCCATTAAGGAGGAGATTTGCCTGTAATTGTGCTATTGTGATAAAACAGGTGCATTTTCACAGGCTCAGTGCAGCAGCCCCTGACAGCCTGGCTCTGTCCTCCCAGCCCTGTTATCCTCACCCCCAGGCTCCCTTCCTGGCTCCCTAAAGCTGGCTTTGCTGTGTTCAGCAGCACTGAACTCTGTGAAGACAGAAGCTCCACAGCCCATTCCAGCTTCCTTCTTCCCCTGTTCCTCTCTGGATTTGCTCTCTGTATCACAGCAAGTCCCCCCTCAGGTAACACTCTTTTCTGCTCCCTGGGAGACTAAATCCTCTAACTTCAAGTCTTTTAACTGGCTACAAGAATAAACCCAGGAGCAATATTGTCAAAGCTGCATTTAGTTTGAATTTTTTTGCTACATCTAGAAAAAGCTGATGAAAGAAAGGGCTCTTGAGGGTGAAAGTGTGTTGATTTTACCCAATTATAGCAAGTAGGCTAAAAAGAGGGATTAGCTCTCCCTGAGAATCTTGCCTGTGTAATGGCAAACCACACTGGAATACCTGCCCACCCATTACAGAGAGAGGGAGGAAGCCTTATCTTACAAAAAAACCTGGAAATTAGAGAGGTAAAACTGTATCACAGCAGCTGAAGGGACTGTGGACCCTTTCTCTTTAGTCTGAGAGCAAAGGAGGCTCAGCAGAACCACCATGCAAGAGGACACAGAGCTTCCAGAGAAGGTGATTAAAACACCTTGAATTGAGTCAAAGAGAAGAGCAGTAATTAACAGAAATGATGTTCTTGCTATGCTGCCTTGATAATTAAGTGTATTTTAAACGTGAACTGCCTGTGCTGAAGAACACGAACAGATTCTTGGTGTGTTTAATGACAAACAGCCAGAGAAGTTCTGCCCTGATTTCCTAAAGAAGCTGCTGCATCTGACATTGGTTCTAAAGTGTCTCCAGCACTTCAGTTGGTGAGTTACACAGTCAAACATAGAGAACCACAGAGTTATTTGGGTTGGAAAAGCCCTCTGAGAGCACCAAGTGCAACTGTTCCCCAGCCACCACCAGCCCATGTCCCCAGTGCCACATCCACACAGCTTTGAAACCCCTCCAGGGATGGGGACTCCACCACTGGGCAGCTGTTTCACTGTCTGGCCGCCCTTCCCATGTCAGAAATTTTCCCAATCTCCATCTAAACCTCCCCTGGCACAACTTGAGGCCGTTTCTTCTGCTCCTGTCCCTTGTTCCTTGGGAGAAGATCCTGACCCCCACCTGGCTCCACCCTCCTGTCAGGGAGGTGTAGAGAGCAACAGCAAGTCAAGAGGATAATTATCTGCCAGAAGTAGTTTTACTAAACATCAGAAGGAGACCCAGAGAAGCCCAGAAATCAATCCAAACAGCACAGCAGAGAAAACATCTCATAGATTTGAACTGACAAGTCTGACAAGCTCATTTTAAGCCTCCATTAAGTGTAATTAATGATAACAAAGCTTTTCCTAGGAAAAAAAAAAAATCTACCTGTCACAAAATCTACAACTTTTGTAATGAAGCTTTTTTACTCTTAAAGCTGGCTGACTGCAGCCAGTACCCACACTGCCAGGTTATGGTGCCCTCTGAACTGCAACTTCACAGGCACTCACAGTCACTTCCAAAGCTCTAAAATCTGTGCACAAACCTTTCCCTGAGAAATGGCAAGGTAAAAATCCTTAGGGAATGCTGGTGTTTCTAGCACTTATCAAGAGTTCGCTGTTTTTATGAAAAAAACTGGAAAGGAGGAGAAAAATGCATGAACTGCATTGACTTGGGAATGGCAGCTTCTTTCTCTGGTCTCGGAGAGGGGAGAGAAGAATTCCACTCAGCAAAATTCCACATATTTGCAGTTTATCTAAGGAACAGGTTTCAGCAGAAGTGGTGGCACATGAAATCCCTACACAGGGGCTTCCTGGAGATCCCAGAGGGGCTTCTGCTGGCAGCTCAGAATCCCTCACAGAGCACCAACCTGATTTCCTGGGTGCATTTTGCTTGACTCCAGACTTAAGCAGAACAATTCTTCTCCCACAGCAGTGAAACACAGGCCCAAACACAGTAATTCCTCTAAGACCAGGGCCTTCTGGGACCTGTAACTCCTCTGAGCAGGGCTCCAGTGGGATCAGCAGCCAGAGGCTGCAATTCCACCCCACAAGAGCTAGGAGAGAAGCCAGACATCCTTCCCTGACAGCAGCAGCTCAGGTGTGTCACACCTGTGCCCACATCAGTGCAGGTGGCTTTATGGACTCGCTGAAGGTCTCCTTTTGGGAAAGACTCTGCCAGAACAAGCGCCAACAGCTGAAGGGAAATAAATGCTCTACAATGAGCAGTGGCATTGCTTTCCTAAAGCTTTGTATAAAGCCACTTCAATAATCTCTAAGACAACACCAAGGCAGGTTTTTTTCTCACACAGTCGTTTTTTTCCCCCAGTAAATAATCCGTAATTTGCTCCCCCTAAAACACTGTTTTCTCCACAAGGCTTTATCCTCCTACAGCTCCTGAGAGGTGCCAACATCCTGAGCTCCAACAGGCTCTTCCCACCCCTGAAGTTACTCAGGTAATTCCAGCATATCCTTCTGAATAAAGGCAAGGAAGGAAGGAAGGGTTTAGGGTACCTTGCAGCAGAGCTTCTGTGCTGGGGTGCTGCTTCATGAGCTGCCCCTCCAGGTCACTGTCAGACCCTTCATCCTCCCGAATGTCGATGTCAGAATCGTCGTTACCTGGTTAAAAACAAACCCAGCTGGTTAACAGCGCTCCAACCACCCCCTGACTCACAGCAGCAGCTGGACACAGGAGGTACCAGCAGTCTCTACCTTTGTGCAAGCCCAACAATTATGAAAAGTGCAGCTGCAGAGAGCATTGGATCTACTGAAGAGTGCAGGAAAATAGCCAATATCCACATCCTGAGGAGAAATCCTTCTGCATGGAAGTGCCAAAGGAGCACTCACTATAAACAATTGTCTTGGGATGATCCCAGATTGTACCATAAATGTGCTGTTTAAATACCCCCTCTGGGTACGAATGTACAGTCAGAAGGGGCTATTTCAGCAACTCATTTAAAGATAAAACTCTTTTAAAAAGTTTTTAGGAAGTGTGGGCTTACTAACACATCTCCTGGTCTTTACCCTGACACAAACAATATCACAACTTGGTCTCTGCCTTTCATTTAATTCCAGGTTAGAAAAGCACAGTGAGACATCCCCAGATATCTGAATGCAGCTACAGCCAAAACCAAGATGGAGAGGCAGGAAAGCTTCTCCTGGAGAGACAGGAAAGCCTCCCAAGATGCAGGAACTTCAAATATTTCCATCATCTGCCTTTGTTTCCTTCTCCCTATCCCCTGTAATACCTATTTAGTCCCTTAGTCCCAGGTTCCCATCACCAAACTTAAACCAATCTAAAGGAATTGGATTAAATGGAATTACCAGTGCCAGCACAAACCCAACAGCATCCCACGGGAGGAGCCAGCACAGCAACATTTGCTGCTGATTAGTTAAGAGAAAACAGGCAATTCTTTCCCAGGTACATTTAATTACACACATGTCTGAGAAGAAAATGGAAATAACTACTTTAATTAGGATTAGTAATGAGCTGACACATCTTTGCAATATTTAATTAGCGGGCAATACACAAATATTAGACATTTTTCCATCATCTTTTTCATATTCAATATTAAGCTAATGACAAAATAATAACGGTAAGGTAAGTGTTTGATGGCCTGGCAAGATTACAAGGCTCCAGCAGTCTCAGCTACAATTTCTATTCGTGTTGCACTTTATTTTTTGGCAAGTGAGGGAATCACTCACTGCTGTGTGACCTCAATGCTGCTTCTGTTTACCTGGCATTTAAGAAAATGAGGTTTTGTTCAGCCCTTGCACAGGCAAACTCCCTGGGAAGAGCCCTGAGGATTCAAGTTCATGCTCTCTGTATGAAAAAATGAATTTATTACACCTGTGATGGCTCTTGCTGCTACTAAAGTGCCCTCATTCTTGGGGTTTTGTGTTTTTTCTTTTTTTTTTCTATTTTAGGAGCAATTTCTCCCTTCCAGGCTTTGTCATTTGTGCTCCTGTTAGGCAGCCCCACCAGCCAGAGCTTTTTTTCTCCTCGCTGGGACCTCCTGAGCATGAAATTCCCTACTTGTTGCCCTAGAAGAAGGCACAATCTCCTCAGTGTAAGGCTGCACACAGAATCTACAACCATTGTTGGGGAGACAAGGAGTGCAAAACCCCCTCCAGTGGAGCTGGCTTTTAAGATTTATATGGCTTTAAGGAGGATTATTTGAATTTTCACAACAAACTTATTTATTATTATTATTATTATTCAGCAATCCATGTAACCCGAATTTAGGCCAAGCTGGCCGCTTGCAGAAGCTTCAGGCTGGGCTTTCAAGAAGCTCCTGTATTTTTATTATGAAAAGGTAATCAGCAGAACAACTCTGTAAATTGTGTTTGGCCAATGTCCCCGCTGCTGTGATTGACTCTGCTGCTCAGAGAACACTCTCAAAGTATCAGCCCACCTGAGAGAGAATACACTGGGATTATAAACCCCACTTGCCTTGCATTTCTATTCCATAAGAATGGGTTTCAGTCAACTCAATTAATTTCCTTTAAAGCTGTCCAGGGACAAAAAGTACATCCTGGTTCCACTGCAAAGCCAGCGCCCTCCAAAGGGGGGGATTTGTTCCAAAGCACACCCTGCTGCTTCCACAAAAAGCCAGAGCTGATACCTGGACAGATAATTCTATATTTAAATGATTTAATATTTGGTCATTTGCCACACTTGAAGGAAAACCAGCATGAATTAATAACTCAGCAGTGATTTCATTACAGATCTGGTAGTTTGCATCAGTGCTCAAGTAAATGTATCCAGCTGCAAAACAAGACGCTGCTGTGGTGAAGATAATGAGCACAGATGACATTGTTTATTGAGGTGCTTTGGAATTAGATGTCAGTGCTGTTCAGCATGTTCAATTTGATACTAAAAATCCCTGCTTTGAAAACACAGGCAACTGGCTCGGCAGCAATTACTGAATTCAGCAGGATATTCACTTTGGTGAGAAAAATCCAGTGGGCAACTGACAGCCACTTGATCCAAAATAAACCCCAGTTGATAAACAGCATGAAGTAAAGGAACGGGAGAAAACAATGGGGGTGGATTGGGATTTTTAATGAGAGAATGAAGCTCAGTACCCACTGGAAAGCCTCAGTTCTACCAAATCCATACTCTTGTCCCAACCAAACTCAAGAGCTTCAGGCTCTGTGTCAGCCTGCACGCTCACACACCCCCAGCTCTGCAATCTGAAGGGAAAGACACAGTCAGGAGGTACATCCTTTGTCCCTGGCACACAAAACCGAGATGTGTCATCTGATCTCTGAGAAAAAGTCATCCTGAGAGCTCCTGACAGGTGTGGAAAGGCTGGATACTCAGACCTGTGTTAGGAAAATCTGGGTAGTAACGGCCACAAACAGCAACCAGGAGGTTGCAGAGGTGGGTCCAAGTGAAATTATGGACCTTGCTTGGCCATTTCAAAATCACAGGATTCCAGAATGGTTTGGGTTGGAAGGGACCTTAAAGCTCATCTCATTCCACCCCCTGCCATGGGCAGGGACACCTTCCACCAGCCCAGGGTGCTCCAAGCCCCGTCCAACCTGGTCTGTCCCATTCCAGTAAGGATGATTAACCACTGCCCAGAGAACAAACAGAGCTCTCTCACTTGAAATAATTAAAATCAACTATTGATGAGAAGCTCCATTTAAACTGGGATGTGCAGTCTTGGCACAGGAGTTCTTTTTTGACCAATTTTATCGAGAGGTCATATTTGGTGACCATAATGTTTCTAACGATCTTACAAGCCAAGAAGCCATCAAAGTGCTATTAAATTAGAGCATGAATTGGCAATTATCTAACAAGCACAACACAAGACTCCCCTGGACTAGTTCCAGGTGCCTGTTACGGGAAGATGGATGATCTGAGCATCCTGCAGTGACAGTGCCGAGCATCAGCAACATCATCCAGGAATTACCCCAGTGATCCACAGCTCCACCTCAAATCCCACCACTGCTGCAATGGGGCTTTTTGATTCCTGCTGGCAGATTTTAAAGCACCAGTTCTGGAGTAGAAAGGGTGGACCCAGGAGCATCAGTTAATCCTGTGGCTGTGGCTAACAAGATTGAAGTAGAAAAATATTTAATATTTTCAAAACAAAAATATTTTCCTTATTTAAAAATATAGTTTATAGATAAAAACCAGAGAGCTGGAGAGGAATTTTGCATAAGGGCCTGAAGGACAAGGGGGGAATGGCTTCCCACTGCCAGAGGGCAGGGTTAGATGGGATATTGGGAAGGAATTCCTGTTTATGAGGGTGGGTAGGCCCTGGCACAGGTTGCCCAGAGAAGCTGTGGCTGCCCCTGGATCCCTGGAAGTGTCCAAGGCCAGGTTGGACGGGGCTTGGAGCACCCTGGGCTGGTGGAAGGTGTCCCTGCCCATGGCAGGGGGTGGAATGGGATGAGCTTTAAGGTCCCTTCCAACCCAAACCATTCTGGGATCCTGTGATTCTACACTGTCTGCTTTTAAATTGGAAAAAAAACCCCAAACCTCTTAAAGACTGTGAGAAAACGCATGTGAAAGAGTGTAAAAAAGTGAGAAAAAATGATATGTAAATGAAACAATTTGATTACTCTGGAAAACTGTATTTCAGCCTGGAAACATTCACACTTGTTTCTCTTTGCTCAACAAACATGGGTGAGCCTGAGAAAACATCTTGAAGTTTTGCTGTGGTCAGTGACCTTCCCTGCCCCCTCCTCTCACACCAGCAGGTGTCAGAACATCCAGTGACCACACCTGACGTGGTCCTGTCACCACCCTGCACAGAGCTCACCCAAGCAGTGTCTCATGTAATGTTTAAAGAGTCACTTTGCTGTTTACCACAAGGAAACCAAGCCCTGAGTTTCAGGCAGTTGGATTTTTTTTTTTATTTGGCACCAGCCCTGGATGTGGCACACACAGGCAGCAGGTGTGAGACACCACAGCCTCTCTCAGTTCCTCTGAGAGCATCTTCTGTGAGGCAAAGATTAGAAAAATAACAGCAATTTCCTTACTGCTCAGCACAAAAGATATCTCTATACTGCTGCAAATACTTAATTGTGTATGTTTTCATCATGCAGATAATACTCAAAACTTGCTCTGTATTTAGAGTTCAAAATCTTTATGTCATTTTCATATTTTTCCTATAATTTAGTGTTGGCTTTTTTTCTTTTTTTTGTGCAGTGGTTTTATGGAGATGCTCTGTCAGAAACAAAAACTTTGCAGTGCATGCTAGCAAAAAGAAAAAAAAAAAAGAACCAGACTGTTTATCGATTATCCTAAACATTTTTTTTGCCAATTTTCTGTGATGCCACAGAAAATTTTATATCCTTAACGCAGACCTGCCCAGCTCAACCTCCATTCCACAGCTCTTGCAGGTGACAAACATGATTCAAGCTTCTCTGCTGTTAGTTCAGCCTGAACCTCAAACAGAGAGCTTCCAGGATTCCTGCAACTTTATTGCACAGAGAAATGAACTGGTGCTTTGGAACCCTTCCCACCAAATTAGCAGGAGATAAGGTCAGGGGCTGCAGACAAACAACAACTGCAGCAATTTACAGGTAGGCAAAGGTAAAGAGTTCTTACAGGGGCTGATGGATACTGACTTTTATCAGTTCATGGCAACAAATTTATCACCAGATGCCAGCCCGTGCTGTTGGAAGAACCTCATTAAGTGTTCTGCAGCTCTCAGGGGCAAAGTGTAATGAGAGGGAGAGAAGCTTCCCTTCTCCCTGCAGAAGGTGCTGCTGGCCTGTGCTACCCCTCTGTGTAGGAAATCAGTGGATTTGTGCAAATGAAATTCATTTCACCCCCCTGGGCCAAGATTCAGCCAGAGAATCTTAGGATACTGGGTGACACCAAACCAGCCTGCCCACCTTCCACTGAGCAGGGCAGATGCTCATCAATCCATCTCCAGAACCCGCTGCATGAGCAAGACCAAGTCAGAGTAGGGTCCACTTCAGCTGTCCTGTGAACAGGCACAGTGTCTTTGTTGGGCTGAAAGCCCAGACAAAAAAAGTCCCAAGTTTCTCAACAAACTAGAAGGAAATTCAGGATAAAAGCACTTTGCTTCATGTGGGAGGCATTACTCGAAACTCTGAGTGGAATAATGAAGTATCCAGCAGGGTCTGCTGCAACAGGACAAGGGGTGATGGTTTAAAACTGAAGAAAGGTCAATTTAGACAAGATATTGAGAAGAAATTGTTGGCTGTGAGGGTGGGCAGGCCCTGGCACAGGTTGCCCAGAGAAGCTGTGCCTGCCCCTGGATCCCTGGAAGTGTCCAAGGCCAGGTTGGACAGGGCTTGGAGCACCCTGGGCTGGTGGAAGGTGTCCCTGCCCATGGCAGGGGGTGGAATGAGATGAGCTCTGAGGTCCCTTCCAACCCAAACCAGTCTGTGACTCCATGATTCTACAAAGAAATTAATTTCCCCTCCCTAAACCTACTTTAGAAAGATGTTTCTGACAGTGAAGAAAAGCCCTTTTTTAATATTCCTGTGCCTGGCTCGTTCCAGGGCACATCCTGTCTCAGGAGGAGGATGCAGCACTCAAAATCCCAACACAACAGAAAGAAGGTTGAAGTGGCCATGCATGCAGCACTTCACACCACCTCCCCCCATGCTCACAGTCCTCTTGACAAAATCACTGCCAGGTCAAGCTGGAGGGTCTCCTGTGAATCCTCTCCAGCAGAAATGCCATCCTGTTTTCCTGCTTCCTCCTTTTGGAGTGAATTGCACTATTGACCTTGGGAGAGGCTGGACAAGCAAAGCTGCTCAGTGATGCTGCAGTGGTTCTGTCTTGTGCAAAAGATGTATTTCTGTTGTGATTAGGATCCTGGGATTCACACAGTTCTTCTGGAAACACATCCATATGGGACATGTCCCTGTAGGACACTGTGCCACCTAAGACACTGATCTCTGCATTCTCTTCCCAAAGCAAATCTCTTGGCTTTGAATTGTATAAAGGGTATTTTTTAACTAATAAAGAAAGGAGAGTGGGGTGTGGTCTAATGGGAAAGCCCAGCCTGATATCCTGAAGGAGTAACTAACTCTTCTTGCAGAAGATTTTTTTACCCTGGAGTCAGTTATTTTGCTTAGGAAAAGCTTCCCTTGCATCTTTCTCAGAACAGTGCTGTTCTCTCCCTCCTGACATTCCAGAAGCTCCCTGTGATGTGTGAGCAGAGAGCAGGTGCCATTGGCCTTCCCATTCCAGAGGGGAGGCAGGGGGAAGCAGAGATAATAAAACTCAAAGGAGAAAACAGGAGGGGCCTTTTCCTCCCTGGGGCCCAAACCGCCCTGCTGAGGTCATTTGTGAGTGTTCTGGCCTTCTAAAGAAACTTTCTGAATTCTTTCCACTGCCCTGGCATTTCTGGGGATACCTGTGTGTCTTACCTCACACACCTGATCGCTGTATGTGCTCTCAGGGAGCTTTAAAGCCTTCCCTAAATTCACCTCCATGCTCATGACTGGGAAACACCGAGAGCCTAATTTACTCTCTCAGTTTACAACCCTGCAAACTTCCACAGCCTGTGCAGATCAAGGCAGGGCTGGAGCTGACACAGATGACTCAATTGTCATCCCAGGTCATGAGGCAGTCAATAAATGAGCCAGCTCTGGAAAACAGGTTCCTCGTGCTCTTATCACTGAAATAAATACTAATTATGACAATTAAGTACCTGAATAAAGATGTGTTATTGTAATATTTTTAGCTCATTAAAAGCCATAATCACGTTCTTAGGTGGCAGTTAAATCACTCACTAAAAGGTAAAGTTCCTTTTATTTCAGAGCTGCAAAATGACAGAATAGTTTTCCAAGTAAAATCCACAGACAAGGAGAAAGGAGGTCAGCAAATTTTCACTTTATACTTCACACTGCCAATTACTGAGGATTGATGTTTAAACTCACTTGCCTTGGAAACTATCTGACAGCAGGACCTGAACTTTTTCACTCAAGCGAATCCTTGAAACAATTTCCCATTCTTGTAATTTATATTACAAATCCTATATTGCAGCTGAAATGTCTTCACCTTTTACCTCATTGATATGAGATCAAAGATGGGCAAAAATGCGTGAAATTCCTCTTTCATAAGCCTGCTCTGAAAATCTCAGCCACCAAGCAAACTGTGAAGGGCAATTTTTATGTCTTTACTCCATTTCAGCTTTTGTGAACTCTCCCTCTGATCCTGACAATTAACTTTCCTTCCAGTTTCTCCCACTATCAAACAGAAGTGCACAGATTGCAATATGAAATTCACTGGGGAAATTAATGAGGAAGTTTTTGCTGATGTTCAGCTCGAAAAGAGCAAAATCTCGTTTGTGAGTTTTCTACAGAATCTCAAGAGTTTGTTGCTCCCTTCTGATCCTCAGCTAGAATCCTAATTAATTAAGAGTAAGTTTTGAGAAAAAAAAAAAAAAACACAACTAAACTTCTCTACTACTACCAGAGGTGCAGAAATCCCACTTACCTTCACTCTTCAGCAGGTGTTGCTCCTCTTCCTTCAGCCTGTTCTGTGTAAGTCGTAACATGTTTGCTGCTTCCTGCAAGAAGGGAAAAAAAAACACAACTGGATTGGAAAAGCTGCCACGCTCAGATGATCCCACAACAACAGTTAAGGGCACTCACAGGTAGAAGGAGAATAGAAAATGTCTGCACTGAATATATTTTATGTTAAAAAGGTTCTTGCTTGAAACATGGGAGCTCCTGCTTTGACTGAGAGGGTCAGGATATAAAGTGTGTACCCAGGTCAAACAAAGCACTGAAAGACAAGTGTACATTCCCACTGTGGGTGAAACATCACTTATTGCATGGAAAATGAGTTCATTTGTCTTTATGCCACAGAAAAGGACTGCTGGTACAGCAGGGAAGTGGCTTTCTTTGGAAAGCAGGCTTTGGTACCTGTTTTCAGCCTGTGCTCCATCAAAAACCAGAAGTGGTTTGTGAAATGACTGCAGCTCCCTAACACACACTCAGACCAGAATGAATTCACACATTTCCAAGCATGCAAACAAAATTGGAGCAAATGACCCTTTCAACAAGATGGAAAAGTACAGCCATGTATTGTATACCCCACTGCAGGATTTAGGTGCAAAGGAGAACCATTCAAACGAAGGACAATGACACTAGAAAATCATAGAATCAGAGATTGGTTTGGTTGGAAGGAACCTTAAAGTGCATCCATCCATGGTCAGGGACACCTTCCACCAGCCCAGGTTGCTCCAAGCCCCGTCCAACCTGGCCTTGGACACTTCCAGGGATGGAGCCACAGCTTCTCTGGGCAACCTGTGCCAGGGCCTCCCCACCCTCACTGTAAACCACTTTTATATCTAATCTAAGCCTCCCCTCTTTTAATTTAAAACTATCACCCCCTGCCCTACCACTCCAGGCCCTACTAAAAGTCTGTCTCAGAAGGAAATAGGATGCTGGTGGCAAGGAGGCAGTGGCAGTAAGGCAGACTAATTCCAGAATAATGGATCAGTGAGGACTCGTGGCTGGCTCTGCAGACAGTAACTGATGAGAACAATTCTAATTTTCTGGTCTGCATGAACTTGCACAACATCACAGACCAGGCAGGCTAAAGGGATTATTTGGTTCCTGAACACCACAATTGTAGGGAGGTGTTGTCCTGAATTCAGGAAGTTCTCCATCCAGTTAGGACTAAAACCTGGCAAAGATGCCAGGTTAGGAACTAAGGTTCACTGTTCCAATTGCAGCATCAGACAGAAAAATGCATTTTTAATGACATCTACCTTAAATTTGAATTTTGAATAGCAAACTAAACACAATACAGTAGGTAAGATCTGAATGCACAGAATGAGGTGCAGATAAACCTACAATACTGAACAGGTGGCAAGAGCTGATTGAAGATTCAGCCACAAATTTTCCTAATTTTAGTCTCTTCAATTCCAGTCAGGCAAAGGAAAGCTAATTAAGTGTGAAGTAAGATTTTTCTGAGCTTTTGACTTTTCTGTGCAAAGCATAATTAAAAACACCAGCTGCTTTGACGTGATCACACCTTCACATTTACAGGACAGGAAAGGAAACATGGACTCATCTGGAATATCCATGTGACAGAGAAAGGAAAGTAAGAAGAGCATCTGGAAGGGGCTGAATGGAGCACCACCTTTTTTTTTCTACACTTTCAGGTGGAAATGTGTTTCCATACATCTGGCAATGGCACAGGAGCTGGGAAAGGAACCTCCAAGGCCCATCCAGCACGTGAGGAAGTTGCTGGAAACAGAGGTCTGGGGACAGACTGGCATGAGACAGCAGAACTTGGCATAAATATCTGTCTTGGGGGTTGAAATTCATGCTGGGAAAGCCTGCAGAGAAGATGTTTACAGGTGGTAAGAAGAAGTGAGGTGTCACCTGTACCTGGTGAGAAACCAGCTCGGTGCCTCTCTCAAGGGAATAAACTCTGATCCCAAAATCTGCTTTGGACAACCACACAAATTGTCTGCTCTACAAACTCTCCAATGCTAACAGAGACATCCATGGATGCTGGGAATGCTGGTAGTGAATCCTTTGGGGCTAGGAATAACCCTGCAAAACTCAGCAGGTGTGACAGTGTCCAGGGGGATGAAGCTGAAAGGTCAGGATTCCCCATCACATGGAATGAGACACTCCAGCACAACCCACACCAACATAAATTACTGAAATCTCCTAACTGATGGGAAAACATTCTGTTAATTCCATCTGCAGGAACAAGGAAGGAAAAGACACGAGCATGTTGAGACATTCTATTGAGGAAACTGTTCTTTAGTGGTTCCTTTGTACAGGGACAAATGACAGTGAGGACAGAAGAGTGGGGGCGACGATTAAAGGAGAGGGGAGGTGCAAGGACGCTGAGGATGGCATGATTTTGGGAAGTGGGCCAATAAAGGTTCCTGCCTCCTTGATCCAGGCTGCTGACCATGGTACAGGTGACCTCCTTTCAAGGCCAGGCTGGACAGGGCTTGGAGCAACCTGGATTTGTGGAAGGTGTCCCATGGCGGGGGGTGGGATGAGATGAGCTTTAAGGTCCTTTCCAACCCAAACCGTTCTGGGATTCTGTGATTGCATGACACAGCAGCCACACACCTCCACAGCTCAGTTCCACTGACAAGAAGTGTAACCACTACCAGTGCCTCCTTTGTTCTCCACAGACATGTCCATTCCAAGGCCTCCCTCTGCACCAGTGGGTCCCAACATTTCCTGATTAAGCCTCGCAGTTGCTCCCTTCTTTCCCTCCCTCTTCCTCCCAGCCAGTCTCAAGAAAAGGACATTTCCCAAATGTCATGGGGACAAATCCACGAACCCAGAAAGCACATTTAGAATGTTCACAGAGCAGTGAAATAACAGGCACAGATGCAGTCCTTGCCTGATACTGTAATTGCTGGCACACATGAGGACAGCTGAAGCTGGCAATGCCAATTCAGGCACGTAAGCATCCTCCCTGCTCTGCTCCCTGCCCTCCTGCCACTCCTGCCACTCCTGCTGCACCTGTGCAGCGACACAAAAGGAACCTGGTGAAAACTAATCCATCAAAACAGAACTAAGCCAGGCAAATTCTCCCCCCCAGCTCAGTGTGTGTCTGCCCAAACTCCTGACTGGCACAAGGGAGGGTGGGGGGCTGCAGCTGTGGGGAAAACAGCAGGCCTGGGAAGATGGGGCTGATGAACTTGGAGTATGAAGGCTAAAAGAATGTTTCATCATACAGATGAGCCCTTCTCCTCCTTTCCTCCAGCCTCTGACTTGTGCTGCTGCCAGTAGCTCAGCTGATCTCATCACCAGCCAGCCCAGGGACTGGATGGCAGGAAAAAATGTTGATTTTCTGCCGGTTTAGATTCCTGAATAACTTGATGCATGGCCAGTCAAATGCCACTGTCAGCCCAAGGGAGCTGCTGAGCCTGTCCATCATCCCTTCCAACAGCCAGGCTACACCCTGCAAAACCTTACTAAAAACTGCAGCAACAAAAAACACTGGCAAACAAAAATCACACTGGCAAATTAACACGATTTCAAAAACCAATTAACACAAAATCTGAACCAACCTGCCCCCTCAGAGGGGACTCCCAGGCCTTCCAGGGTACTAGAGATCACTGCTGCTTTAGGGGCAGACAGATCTCTGCCCAGATGGGAATTCTCCTCTGCCTCGTACATTTTAAATCTGGAATAATCAGAACAATCCCTTTGCAAACAGCCAGGGGAAATGGGCAGCAAGGAGGGATTTCCTGCTGACAGAGACCACCAGAACGACTCCAGCCCAACCTCCTGCTCCAAGCAGGACCAGCAACAGAATCAGACCACAGCACTCAAGGCTGCAGTTGGATCTTAAAGACCTCCAAGGGAGAGACTGAGCAGCCTGTCTGGGCAGCCTGGTTTACTGGATGAGTATCCAAAGGGTGAAAAAGTTTCCTTATATCCAGTCAGAACTACTTTTTCTTCCCAGTGATTTGTCCACGGCCTTTAGCACGAGGTTCAGATCTCCTCAATCACCAGCCCTTGTGTGGTGACACATCAACAGCCCAGACACAGAAAACAGCACCAGAAATACAGAGCCTTTTTGGTGACATACAAAGGCTTTTAAAACAAGTAGGTTTGGGGCTTTTTTCATCCCCTCTACTGTTGCTACAGGCACATTATCTGTCTCTGCAGCACACTGAATGCACTCAGGACAAATGGCTGGCTTTTGCAGATTGGAATTTGAATGAGGCAATACATATCTATTCTGTGCCCCAATCTTCTTTAAACTGGCAAAGGACAAGGCTGAAGACAACTCTGCCCCTGCAGAGAGCAAAGCAGCAAAGCTCAAACCGAGTAAGAATAAAACTGATGCGTTATTTGATCACTCGAAACAGCTCAGAGGTTTTAAGTTCACCTTTAAGTTTTCTTGGAAAAGGTGTGGGGAAAACATCCAAATACAAAGAATTTATGCCCTGCAGCCACCTGGCAGACCTGGTGACCACCAAGTAGGAAGAAAAGGGAAAGAAGTGGGTGAAATAGGAAGGGGACAAGTCTAAAAGCACAGGACAAGTGAAGCTCATTGATTCTCTGCATTTGGATTCAAGCACTTCAATGTTTTTCTAAGCTGCTCCTTCTGCTCTCACATTCTGGTGGTGGTGATGATCAGCCTGACAACAAACAGGGCACTGTGAACACTGCAGGGCAGGCTCTGGAATGTTCCTTGTGAAGGCAGAACAAGCAGGATCCCATCCCAAGTGCCTGACCACGAGTTCATCCATGGTAGGAAACAAAACTAGAGGAATCAGGATGTGCACAGCTGGTATTTTTATCACAGAACCCCAGAACAGTTTGGGTTGGAAGGGACCTTAAAGCTCACGACCAAGATGAGTTCTAAGGCCCCTCCCAACCCAAACTGCTGTGTGATGTAAGAAGTGCTGCTGGACAACACAGGAAGCACAGGTCAGAGCCAAGCAAGCAGAACATCAGAGAGAACACAGCACTGAACTCTGTGCTGAGGATTGATGTGATTGTCCATGGCACAGCACAGCTCTGTCGAGAGACAGAAGGATTGGGAAGGCACTGGCAGAGACTGCAA